CTACCTGCCGCCCGGCTCCAATAGTCCCCAGGCACGTCAGGACCAGGGAGGGTGAAAGCACGCAGAAGAACAAGGAGAGAAAAGGGGACGAGGGAGTAGGTCAATCTTTTGGTGGAGCTGACACCACCAAACCTTCAAAAATGACGACATGGGTTGGCAAGTGAGCTCAGTTCTGTTTCTCCGCTGCCTTCAGATCCTCTTTTCAGCCTCCTTTCCCAGGCAGAAGAACAACTCTTTTGCGAAAAAAACAGCTGAGGCTGGTCCAGCTCAGTGTCAGTCTCACGGCACAGGCTTCGGGTAGGAAAGAAGACAAAATAAAACAGCGAGTGCTGCAGTTTTGGCCAGCTGCACTTCAGGAAGTGTGAGCACCCACAGACTGGGCTCAGGCCTGGGTGCTGGACAGCACAGCCTCAGCCTCTGAGGAGCTGGGGTCCACACTGGGGATGAACCCCACAACAGAGCTCACCCCTTTGCTTGCCCTGTGGCACCCATGCACCTACTCTTGCACGGGAGCTGGGACCTCTGGGGTGATGATTGCTCATGATGAGTTCCTGCATAGCACATGGCTTGCTGAGGCATCAGATGAACAGGACAGCGCGAAGCAGCATGCAGCGCAAGATATAGCAAGGGAGCCCTGCACAGATTGGTTATAAAACTCTCTGTCTTGATTTTACTGCCTTTGGTAAAGCTTGGTAAATATTTCTGGGACAGGCAATGCCTTGTCTGGCTTTAATTACCTGGGCAAATTTTCCTAAGGATTCTATTGACCTCAAATATGTCAACATTTATTGAGGCCGTGTTCCTGAGGCTTTTCCCATTAGATGCTAATAGATTCTGGCTAATAGTCAAGTCAGATTGACCACCGGAGGGTGCCCTGGCCAGCTCTGGGATACCACAAGTAACTGGGAAGAGGGCTGGGGAGGGTTACACCAACTTTGTGGAGCCAAATATAAAAATCACCATGGCCCCAGTCCAAAGAGATCAGGGAACATGCTTGAGCAATTACATTCCTAACTATCTGCTTCTCTGGGCGTGATTCACTCTAAGTCACGGCTGTTTTTACGTATGAGACTTCAAGCAAAGGTTGTGTTGCTTGGGACTGTTCCCTCCCTGTGGGAAAGAGGAGTCCAGCACCCCTTTGCAGGGCTCCCATTTGCTTCTGTCCCTCGGCCCCTGCCAGGGCTGGGGCTGTGCTCAGCACAGTGGTCACTCGCCACGGCTGCAACGGAAAGCTGCATCTTGCTGGTTGTTTTGAAATTGCTTCCCTCCAGCCTGACGGCTGGGTGCCTCTGGCTGCCCGTGTACATCACGTGTGGCTGTGGATGAAAGCAGTGGCAGGACAGCCATCCTCATGGAGGCACAGCAGCTTCTTGTCTCTCAGTCTCGCTTGCTGGAGAAGGAGAGGCCCTTTCCTTCATGTGCTGGGGGGCCCACTGCATCCCCTTTCTCCCCTAAAAAGTCCAGTGCATGATCACCAGTAGCTGAGAGGAAGTACTGGTATCGCTTTGCAGGAGGATGCTTCCAAAGAGCAAAGGGAGAAAAGGAGTGAAGCAGCAGCAGAAGAGAGATGCAGCAAACAAGGGCAGGCATCATGGGGGCTGCCAGGAGCGGGAGCTGGGAGCACCGGGGCAAAGAATTACATGGGGGCTCCACAGGACAGCCTGGCTGCAGTTCTCGCATCTCCCCCAGCCCTGCTCACCCTCTGCCAGGGCAGCAGCATGGTTATGCCTCATGAGATGCAGCAGGTGGGTGGGGGTCCAGGGCCCTCCCTGAAGCACCATGCACCCCACTGCATCCTCCAGCCCAGCAAGATCCGTGGGGGAGGTCAAAGAGAACAGGTCTGCCAGGCCCCAGCCTCTCCTACACGCCTCTGAAAATGGAAGCATGTACCAGGCTGAAAGAGCCTCTGGGGTGGGGCTTTGGAAGGGGTCCCCAAGCATTTATGCACTGAGGCTACTGCCCCATTTTCACTGCAAAATCCCAGCCCTCAGTCCCAAATGAGAGTGCATCTCTCCAGGGCAGCTGCTTCAAGTAAAACCGGCTACACCTTGACTCTGTGTCTGACAGGTGTCTGAACAAATACTGCTCTGGTGCCAGTGTCTGAGCTGGAGATGTGTCCCAGCCAAGTTTTCCTGGGGCAAACATCCCAAGGCAGGCTTCCCCTGGGCCATTTGACAGCCCTTGGTGTCCCTGGGCCAAGTCCCTTTAAAAAGCTGCTCTTGATTCTCTCCTTTCCTTCTTCCCTCTGGCTGCAGAAATCCAAGCTGAAGAGAAGTACAGGAAAGCAGCACTGGAGGTTAACATGCCAAAAGAGCATCTGGGTAAGGTCAGGAGGAGCCTGGGGGCTGGGGCAAGCAAGGGGTGCCTGCTGCCCTGCATGTACTTCCTAGGGACTAGCCCTTCCCAGCAGCAAGTCATGCCAGAGGATGGCACACAGACTCCCTTGCATGTGGGGTCCAGCCCCAAGGGCTGCTTGTGCTGTCCCAAGTCCCTGATGTGCAGCCCAGCAGCTGCTTACAGAGGCCAGCAAGGCTGCTGAGATGGCAGAGAAAGAGAGGAGCAATGATGAAAGCAGATGGGAGGTGGTACGGATGCTGCAGTGGGGCACCCCCCCTGGAAATCCTTACCTAGCACAGTGCTGGGCTGAAGTAAAAGGGGGTTCTTACTATGAGATTCACTCTGGTTCAGGCAGGGCTTGAGGCCAGTCATAGGCTGAGGAGGTGTCCACACGTCCCTGGGTTTGGGAGCAGAAAAAGGCTGGGAATAAGTCACTGCTGGGCCAAGGCATCAAGAAGGTACTGGGCAGGGAATAGCCACCCAGTATGGTTTGGATGGTGCCCTTTGACTGCCTGTGCTCAGGCCAGGGTCGTGGTGTGGGTCACCTGTCAGGAGGTGGGTTCATGGCAGTCCTATGCATCTCTGGCTTGCAGTTCCCTGGAGGCACATGACCTGGCAGGCAAAAGCTGACAATGCAGGGCTCAGGCAGAGGCTGTGCGACCTGGAGCAGGCACGGGAAGACAAGCAAGACATTCATGAAAGCGAAGGCAGAGATGGGAGGGGACAGTGGGACAGACGCAGGGACCCCACACCTTGGTGCTGTTGCAGGAAGCCAGCCAAACTTACCCCATCTCTCCCTTCGGCCTTGACCACTCTGCCCCAAACCACCCTGCTGTTGGCTAGCCCTGCTCCCTCCCGTGCTGTCAGCAGGCTAAGGCTCTGGACACGGACTTGTTGCACACCCAGATGCCTGCACTCTGCACAGGCAGAGGCAACCACAGAGGCAGAGACTTCCCTGCCTGCAGAAGTCATTGCCTTGCTATTTCCGTTAGTACTCAAGAAGGGGCTGACTTTAGCAGAGGTAAAACCTCAGCCAGAGGTTTGTGGTCTTTGCCACATGCAAAACTCCATGCTCATTTTCACTCTCCCACGCTCAACAGAGAGGTAAAACTTTCCCTCCAGGGCTCCCACCCCCCCAGCATTAGTCACAGCCCTGCTAGGCTAGGAGAGGGTGCAGGCACTGCTGCTCCTGATGCGTCACCCTGCAAGGGGAGCCCTCGGGTCAGGCTTTGCTGGAGCCCCTGCCTGGTCACAGGTGCTGGGATCTGAGCACAGGGACCGCCTGCTTTCCCTCCTGTAGTCACCTTCACGTTTGTAACCTTCTCCCTTCCCTGGCTCCCAGAAATGACCCGGCAATACCAAGACCTGCAGAAGCAGACAGCAGCCCACAGCCAGTACTTGGAGATGAAGGTGAAGAGCCTGCAGGAGCAGCTTGGTATGGCCCCCCAGCATACTTACTCCTCACCAGTGGGTGGGGATGGGGTTCGCTCCAGGGCAGCAAAGCGCACTTGGGGGGGCAAGGGGAGACTGAAGTCATTTGCCCTGTGCTGTCAGCATGGCAGCAGCTGAAGGCAAAGCCTGACCCTGTTCCCAGTGCATCCGCAACCTTGGCAGACGCTGACTGAAAAGGGGATGCTGTGATCCCACCCCTGTCCCAGAGCCCTCTGCCATGCTGGGGATGAAGGAGATTGGGCAGGGGCTGTGGCACACACTGCCTGCACCCTCCCGTGCACTGGTCACGCAGTGCCAGGCTCCTGTGTCCATGTGCTCAGTGTCCCCTGCCTCTGTCCCCACACCCCACAGCCACCAGGCTCTGGGAGAGCCAGCAAACCCAGGAGGCTGCCACCCAGGCACTAGCAGAGAGGGACAGGACCGTCACTCAGCTGCAGGGCAGGCTCAATGCCATGGAGAGGGAGTATAAGATCCTCCATGTGAGTGGGGACATGGCTGTGGGTGACTCCCCCCTGACAGTGCAGTCCTCCCTCCTCGCTGTCCTCTTTCCCACCAGGGCAGCCTGGACCTTGTACTGGCCAAGATGGCAGAGGCCAGCCAGCACTGGGAAGAGGTAGGAACAACCATCGCTGCGGAGGACAAGGAGAGCCTACAGGAGTTCGGCCTCAACCGTCCTGGAGATATAGTGCCCTGGGGCTCCCAGGATGGGACAGGCTCTCAGCCCCTACCTCCCTATCAGCCCACCACCCCAGCTGCCCCGGGCTAGGTGAGAGAAGATAGGATCAGTCTGGCCCTCAGTTGCACTGCTGAGTCACAGTCCTCTTCATAACATTACCCACAGGAACAGTAGAGTGGTTTTGTCCTTTAATCACAGTCCAAATGGGTGACGCAGGAACAGTGCTGTGATGGACGGCAGACACTGACAGCCCACGGGTTCACAGGGAGGATGACAGGAGGAGTACAAGAGAGATGTCCATGCAGGAGCAGACCTGAGACCACAGGCTGAGAGGTGGGGGGGTTCCTCCAGTGCCTCCACCACTCCCTTTTCCCCAAAGGCCAGCCCTGGGCTGAGCCAAGCCCCAGGCTCACCAGTCCCCTGGGTCATGGCATGGAAGGCAATGCCTTGGCTCTCCTGAAAGCTCCCAGAGCCTGGAGCTGGGCAAGGGCTTCAGTGCAATGTCCCTAGATGCCCCTGAAGGCAGCTGGGCGGGCAAAGACACAGGTCTGTCTTCAGGTTACAAGAAGCAACCACCATGGTTAATAAAAGCTTGAAGCCAGCCTCGGTCAGTGGAGATGAGTCTCTGGCAGGTGTGATGCTGCAAGCCCCATCGCAGGCATGGAGACACAGCAGCTGTGCATGCAACAGCCATGCTGAGCAGCACTGTGCTCTCTGGGGAGCCAAGCGAGGGGCACCGATGGGCCGGATGTGGCTGGGGTCGAGGCGCTGTGCAGAGGAGCCTGTCTGGAGGCAGGGTGCGCCTGGGCTACTAGAATGCCTGGTGCAGCCTCCTCCACTCCTCCTGGCGCGGGCTCTGCGGGGTCACAGCAGGAGCGTCACACATCCACCCACCTCACCATACTCCACCCTCGCCCCACGGGCAAGTTGGAGGGATCGTTCTGCCTGGCCCTTGTGGCCAGGAGACCACGCAGCCCCCTCCTGCCAGCATCGCAGGTGTCAGGGAAATATTAGGACAGGCAGGGCAGGAGGGTGCCAGGACTCAGAGCGGTGCTGGGCTGTGAGCAGCACTGCAGCAAGGGCCAGGCAAGAGGAGTTACCTGTGTGATCCCTATACTGTTGGCAGCAGCCACCAGCCAGAAGCCAGGTCCCTTTCGCCCCACCTCAGTGTGACAGAGTCCAGGGGAGCCACTGGGAGAGGGCAGGGAGGGCGTGTGGGAGCCTGAGGCAGAGTCACTGTCCTCAAAGAACAGCAGAGGGGACAGCCCGATCTGGAAGAGAAGCAGAGAGACAGCTGCACAGCTACTGGTGCTCCATGGCAACCCAGGTCCCCCAGAGAGGACCTCACTCTGCAGGCCTGGAGGCAAGACACCCATCCTGTCATCCAGCCTTGCAGCACCACAGGGGTCCCAGCCAGGGCAGGACCATGCTAGGTCCCCAAAACCTACCGACTGGTAGAACTCATCGCCAGCAGGGTCGATGACCAGCAGCGTTACCCGGTCATCATGGGCACGGATCTTGAGCACTGTTTGCTGATGGTCCAGCCCCTCGATGCTCTCACCATTCACAGCCAGGAGACGGTCCCCTTCCTTCATCCCTGCCTGCTCAGCTGGCAGCCCTGCATCCACTTCCCACAGGAACTGGCCTGTCGCAGTGGGACAGAGGGAGGAAGGGGAGATGCTCACAGAGGCACTCAGCCAGAGAGGAACTGGCACCGCTGACCTTCGAGTGCAGGTAGGCTCAGTGCTTGCAGCTATTCCTGACCCTCAGACATGCCTTGCTCAGGTACGGACTGCCCCCTCAGCCCCCTCACCTGTGGCACCTGAGCTGCAGTCATCCTCCTTGAGCAGAAACCCGTAGCCAGCTGGACCCTTCACCATGTGCAGCTCCCGGACCTTGAAGGGGAGCCAGGAGGTGTCTGCCAAGACAGCCGTGACCTGCATGCCCCGCAGGCTGTAAAACTCCTCCACGGCACTGGATGCCACCAGCAGCGTCACCTTGCTGCCGCTCTGCTTAAGCTGGATGGGAAATGCAGGGTGCTCAGTGACGTTGCCAGTCCACCACCCACCCACACCAGCAGCATGTACCTTTCTGGTAAGCTGCATGTGCGAGTAGCTCCTCACGCTGGCCCCGTTCAGCTCTAGGAGCCAGGAGCCTGGAGGCACCCCTGCTTTCTCGGCTGGCCCGTCCTGCTGCACCGACAGCTGGAAGATGCCCTTCATGCCTGCAAGAAGAACAAGAGGCAGTCTGGGGTGAGCAGAGCGCTGCAGCAGGGAGGCTTGCAGTGCTGGCATCCCACTGCCCACTTTACCTTCCGGACCCGACACACTGAATCCAAAACCGCTTTTGTCCCGCGTGATGTGGCAGAGGCGTGGGCGGATGTCACTCGGCAGCATCTGGGACAGGTCCCTGCCCAGGGCTTTGGCTGCTTCGTAGGAGTCGCCGTCTAGCACTGCCAGTAAGACCTGGTTCCCGCTGGCCTTGATCTTCTGCACCACCTGGAAGCACCCAGGCTGTGAACCCTGGGCAGGGTGCCCCTCCAACCGCAGCTTGTGGGATCAGGGCCCCAGGGGGTAGCGGGGTCCCACACCCTCTGTGCCCCTGGCTGGGGAAGACCTGGGTGTTCCCACAGCCCTCGAGTACTCCCAGCTTACCCTGCAGTGGTCCATGTGGTCCACGAAGTGGCCATTGACCTGGAGGAGCCGGTCCCCATCCTGTAGCCCCCTGCGCTGCGCCAGCCCCCCTAGCTCAACCTGCCGGATGATGTGGCCTCGGCAGGCCAGCTCCCCGCG